GACGGAGAAGTGACCTTCACTTGAGATGTGGAAGTTAAAACCGCCCATGATGATGACAGTGGGGTGGGGGAGGAGGCGCGGCTTAATCGGGGGGGGCGCCCGCCTGGCTGCGCGCTCATCCCACCCAGGATCGATATGCACGTTCACAATCTGCACTGCGCCGCGCTGGTTGCGCAGCGTGAGCAAGGAAATACGGCCAGCGATGGGGTCGCCAAATGCCGGGTCGCCAAATTCAGACAGCAGCGATCGCTTCGCACCTGCGGTGGCACCGCCCGCAGACTGGTCCAGGAACGATCCCCAGAAGACGAAATCCCGATGATCTCTGGATAAGGTATTGAGGCCCCCTTGGTGCCCATGTGTTTCTTGAATACTCACCGCGCTGTGCCTCTGGAGAAGGCGGCAGAGGGCATAACATTTGCCGCGTGCCTGCTCGGGCTCCGCATGGGGCGAATAAAAAAGCGTCTGCGCATTCCAGGAGCAGAAACTGATGCTTCTCTGGAAGGCGAATTGTTTGACTACTGCAGAGGGGGGGGGCCATCGGAGGCGAGGTCAGGTGACTGGTGCTGCTCACTAAATGGCTCAGTGCCCACTGCATCCTCCGCAGTGACCCTCGAGCTTTGTGCCCTTGACGGTGTTTTCTAAATATAATCGCGCTCCTTCATCTCCTTCTGCGCCTCGTCGAGTATGGCCTGCACGTCCTAGTCTGAGATGTTCCAGTCTTTGCAGGTCTCCTCTTGGTTCTCGAACGTGAGTGTGACCTTGCCCTGCGGCCGATGCCTGACCTGCAGCTTGATCAGCTCCCATAGGTCGTCGCCGTCGGTGATGAGCATGTGGTTCTTGTAGCCGTTGACCCTCAACTTGCATGTCTGTGTCCACTTTGAGCTTTCTTTGAAGGTTCTCCAGCGGCTTGTAGATGGTGCTGAAGGCGCGATTCTTGTCTTTGACGTCCATGGGGAGGTCGCCACGCACTTTGATCTCATGCACCTCGCGGCAGCTCGGATCCAGCCACTTAAGGCCAGCATTGTTGGCGGCCAGCTGGAACGCGCGGGCGTCTGCCGCGCTGGGGAAGAGCAGGCTGAAAGTTTGGGGGGCTTCATGAACATCAGCTTCAACTTGATCGCCCAAATGTCCTGGGACTGCACCCTTCAACCACTCGTAATATGCATATCCCACCTTCTTGAAGACGGGGCGAGGCCAGGTCCCAACCCAGCGGCGACGTTCAGCATCTGGACGTCTCTCACCCTTGTTCCCCTCAGCTCGAAAACGCTTATTCCCATGCGAATGTTGCCCATATGAGCTGTCAGCAGAAGAGGTAGTTGTACTGCTTGCACTTGAGGTATGGATCCTCTTGAGCTCGCTGTTGGTGTTCTCGATCTTCTCCTCCGCCGCGGTGATCTGCTGGTTCTGTCTGTCCAACTGCTGCTTCAATGAGGCCAGTGTCGCTTCTTGCTGCTGAACTGTGGTGCCGATGGCCGAAACATCGTGCTGAATTGAGGGTATCTGCGTCGTGAACAGCGTGGACAGGTTTGACTGCATCTGCGCCAGCAGCGACTGCAGTCCTACATATGTAATAGGCCCTTGCTCATCATGCGCCATTGCCGACTGCTGCAGTGGTGAGCGAGGCTGCTCTCAAGCTTTCCACTCGAGAGAACAAGCTGTTGGCCCCAGCAGCGCGCAGCTCGACCAGGGTTGCCTGAATCGAGAACTAGCCTCGGACTAAAGGTATCCGTGTCCAGCCCGAGGGACCAAAACATCTTGAGCCAAAATGGCTACGGAGGAGGAGGAGGAGGAAGGAGAGGTGGGGGCAGGCGTCGTGCCAGAGGAAGACCACCTCACAGAACCCACCGTGGAGGCCCCCGCCTGCCGCCCCCCAGGCGTCCTTGGCCTGCCGCGCGCGCTGCAGCTGGCCGCGCAGGGCCAGCATGTCGCCTCGGCTGCGCTACTTGGGCTCCCCCGCGCGGCGCTCCCGCATTCAGCGACGGCATGCGCTGGGTCGGCGCGTCGGCGCCAGGCTTAGGTCGGGCATGTCCCCTACAGGCGGACTTTAGACGAACAATAAAAACAGTCAAAACATGTCCCAATATATAACAAATAATCGATCAATCGTCCCCAGACTATGTTTGACTATTCTCGAACATTCCTCACGTAGAGGGACACGGCCGTCTTAACGCCAAGCCCCCCTCGGGGATCTACTGGCCCGGGTCGATCCCGACCTGGGTCGGTCAGGCTTTGCAAGATCGGGCAGAATCCTGCAGGATCCTGCGCCCAAGCCTGGGTCACTGCGCCCCTGGCTCTGCAGGATCCTGCAAGGTCTGGCGCTCTGACAGGCCCCCGTTTGCATTGACCCCCGCCTCTTGAGCCCCGACCCCCTCTCCAGCGCCGCCCCCCCAGCGCGCTCCGCGCGCCAGGGAAAGGGCGTGGGGAGCGCGCGGGAGTTCGCGGGGGGAGGTTTAGCGGGAGGAGGGCACGGAAGACTCCGTCTCTTCTCCTCCTCGAGTGGCAGGACCTCCTCTTCGAGAGGGAGCTCGGAGGGAGGGCTTGTTCCAACATCGTTGGTGAGTCTTGGGTTTACACTGGTCCTCATACTCCTCCTCCTCCTCCTCCTCCTTCTTCTCCGCCTCCTCTTCCTGACCTCTGGCGCGCTCCGCGGGGGATCCAGACACGGTGCGGTGACCGTGTCAGTGGGGACTTGAGGCCGCCGCAGGGCTTGAGATCTCGAGGTCGCCGCGCGCTCCGTCGCCGCACGCTTTTGGGGACCCCCGCGAGAGGCCTGCTGTGTGCGGGGTTGGCCTGGACTCGCCATCGTTCGGACGTCCATTCCCTGTGTTTTTTTCGGTTTCGTGCGTGGTTTTTTCGCCAAATGATCAAGGATGCTCCCCGATGGTCCTCGCCGAAGGAAAAATGCACACGTCCGAGCGATGCCAAGTGGAGACAGCGGCAGGCAGCCCTTCGGGGAGGTCTCCCGTCGCCACGGCCGGGGCGCCGCTCGGAGAACGAGTGCCCTCGGACCCCAGAGGTGGTCCCATGGCGTGAGGGAAGGCCCCGGGCCCCCTCGCGTCGTGGAAGAGCAACGGGAGGTCTCGGTCTTGCAAGTTTTCGCCGTCCAAAACTGGTCATCGCTCGGACGTCCATTCCCTGTGTTTTTTTCGGTTTCGTGCGTGGTTTTTCCGCCACATGATCAAGGATGCTCCTCGATAGCCCTCGCCGAAGGAAAAATGCACACGTCCGAGCGATGCCAAGAAAAAGAAGCTCGGGGTAGAACGCCTCTGGAAATGGGTCGGGGCCTCTGGAGGTCCACGCTGCGACACCAACACAACAACGGCGTGGGGGTTCTGAGGAGTGCGTGCGTGGCCGACAGTGGGAGGTGGAGGGGCAGGGCGGGGGGAGGGGAGGTGCCTCAGGAGACCATCCCGATTCTCATCACAGATCTTGTGAAAACCAGTGGGAAAGCAGGGTCGCTTCCCTAGCTAGAGGGAGGGGGCGGAATAGGGGAGAGGGGGAAAGAGAAGACGAGGAGGAGGACGACGAAGAGGGGGAGAGGGAGATATAGGATGGGGGGGATGATGGTGGTTATGATGATGAGTAGGAGCAGAGCCAATGCAAACCTAGGATGCATCACACATGCTGCAATGAGGTCCCTTTCGTCCCTGCAAGCAATGCTCTGTCTTGCTACGGACAGCGCAGCCTTGAAAGATATGTGCCCAATGAATATACCCTTCAAGCGAGATCCCCGCTTTGAAATGAAACTGGCCCACCTTCTTCTAGCCATACGAACTGCAAAAAGGGAAGGACCATAACATGCAAGGAAATGTCCAACACGAACCCTGGCTTGAAAACGAAGCGTCCTCGATCCGTGGAATTGATTTCACGAGTTCACTTCTGGGTATACAAGCTTGAGGAAGTCTCCATCGAGACCCTCGTTTTGAGAAGGCGCCGCCCTCCACCATTATAATCATACCAGCGTGTAAAACGCAAGTCGGCGGCCCTGGGGCGGGAACAACGTTTGAGAAACCACCTGTCCTCTATCCAGGTCATTCTTGGAAGCGGTTACGATGACTGTTCGTGGCGCTTGGTAGATGGCCACGTTTTGAAAACACGCCACATCACATTTTAATAACTGTTGGCGCCTGTTTCAAGACGAGTTTGGACGGCGCTGAAGTGAGACAACGCAAACCATGTGTACTTTGATAGTTCTGGCCATAACTCAGAACAATAAGTTCGCATATCACGCATGGTCATTCACTGGAACTCCTGGGGAATATACTCCGCGTTGGGGTGGTTGCGGGAGCTCCCATGGTGTGGGATGTGTCAGGGCCAACACAATCCAATAACTGCACCATGGGCGATACCCTCGAGCTGACGCATGAGGTGTTCCTTACAGATCAGTGGCTCGTATCGATCTGTGAACCGATCACGATCGTCCAAGCTGTTAAGGTGCTTGGTGCTTCAATGACAGCCGCAAGACTGTACCGTTTCGGATTTAGGAGCTTTTCCGCTGCGAGTTGGCGGTCGGGGCAGCCACCGCCCTGCGGTACCCACAGGGGAGATGTTGGCGCAGCTGCTTTCCTGCAGCTTTCCTCTTTCCTCCTTCCCCCTCCCACATAGATCCTTCCTCTTGTTCTCCTTTCTCTTCCCTCCCTCCTCCCCCTCCTGCACCCACATAGATCTTTCCTCTTTTTCTCCTTTCTCTTCCCTCCCTCCTCCCCCTCCTGCATTCCTCGTCCTTCCTCTGTCCTCTTTCCTCCTTTCGCCTTCTTCTTTCCCCCTAGTCTCTCCATCATCCTTATTCCTTCCCTCCATCTTCGATCCTTACTCCCTCATGGTTCCTCCTCGCTCCTTCCTCATTATTTTTGCCTCCTTCCTTTTTTCCTTCCTCTTTCTCGCTCCTCCTCCTCCTTCTCCTCCTCCTCCTCCTCTTCTTACGCCTTCTACAACTCCTCAACCTCTTCCTCCCTCGCCGACTACGACGACGCCTCCTGTGCCGAGTCCTGTCCATCTTCCTCCCATATGGGCAAAGCGGCTCAGGGAGCATGACTTCGATTTTGCATATGGTTTGGTGACGGCTCCGGTGCCAATGCCCAGAGCTGTCCTCCTACGGGCAGACATAGGGCCGCATCCAAAAGGCAGTTGACCGCATAGCATGATTCCGAGCTTTCGAAGAAGAGAGGCAGATGCTCTGCGGTTATAATCGCCCAATCTTGCGTACAACGCAAAGAAGGTCAGTCTGTTGACCTATTGAATAATTGATGCTTGATTTGGCTCGGGGAGAAGGAGGAGCCGCGAATTCCAACAATCAGGGCAAAGAGCGTTTAAACAGCTTTGTCCCGCTGGGTGCGTAAACAATTGTAGCCTTCGGGCTCCACCAGCTACTGTATCCGTGCTGCCCCACGCTGCGCACAAAACCGGCACGACACTGAAACACCGAAACTCAGTGGGTCTTCGCACCGTAAACGTTGCGCGTTTCAGGGGTCTCCCATCGGGTGAGGGCAAATTAGCAAGCCGTAGCGCACCTACAAATATAATTGAGACGCGCAGCAGTCGACATACAGTGGAGGCCAGTCCACAAGAAAACCTTCCACAAGAAACCCAACCCTGCGTCCCGAGGACGTCCATAGATTTTTGGTGCGGGAGCGTCGCGCTTTCCATCGCAGAGCCATCGAAACCCAAGAAGCCCGGGGCACCCCAGAGGCAAGCAGGGTGTTTCTTGACATGGGTCTCCACTGTGCAAAGGAACGAGTGCCAACGACCTCAATGCTGCACTGACCCGATACGCAAGGTCGGCAGCACTGAAGCCTACCATTTGGTCGGGCGTGTCCCCCTACAGGCGGATTTTGGACGAAAAATAGAAAATACCCCAATCATATTCAAACAATACTCGAAAATGGTAGACAAATCGTCCCCAGACTATTTTTTACTATTTTAAAAATTCCCCCTGTAGAGGGACGTGCCCGACTTAAGCCTACCAGTCCACTGCGTCATCAACTGGCATTCTCGTCTGGATCCCGCTGCCGCGGAGTCGGCAAATAGTAGCCCACGTTCTGAAGGCCGGAGAGCGGATCGAAGGCACATTCGGTCAAGTTTACTTCGCCGAAGAAGCTCCTCGCCTGTGGGCTCGCGCTGCATCGGCACTCCGCGCCGACCTGCTCCAGCTCTACGCTCGAGTAAAACCTATTGCAATTGAAATCGCAGATAGGGTCTGGGTAGTCCCTTCCCGAGGGCATGTCCGGGTACTTCTCATCGAAAGCCTCAAATGCACGCCTCACGCGCTTCCTGTTGGCCTCCATGTCCGTCTTGCCTTTCCAGAAGTCGCTTCCGATGCCAGTGTCCATGTCCTCGACGTACTCCCTGCTGACGGGGTCTGTGTACCAGTCCGAAAAATTCGAGCCCATGTCGTACAGGTCGCCGATGTCGACGCTGCCCGCCTCCTCGGCAAAGTAAGTGCAGTTGTCCTCCCCGGTGGGAATGCCAACGCAAGCCCCCTCCTTCGGTAGGCTGTACCACGTACCGCCGTCGTAGAAGCTTGGGAAACCCTTCGAGGCCATGGGAAACGGAAAGTCCCCGAGGTAGTTGCAGCCGACGAAATGACCCAGCCTGGCGTAGAGGCCCCTGCAACTGGAGGGGCCGTTGATGGGCCCTGCTCCGGTGCACATGCCCGAATCGTAGGCGAACCTGACCCCGAAGTTGAGGCCATTTTTGAACAGCGCCTTGGTAGACGCGGTCTGCACTTTCATGCGGACGATGCGCTCGATTCCGAACTTGCGCGGCTTGTAGGGGACCACCTCGTTGTGCAGGTACCATATCACTCCGGCGAGGTTCCCAGTGTTGACGCTTCTCCACGGGTAGCTGGTGTTCCCCTGCGCGCGGTACATGTAGAACGTGTTGACTGGGATCCTGGAGACGGACATCAGCGTACCATCAGACGCTTTGAACGAGAACGAGGTGCTCCTGTCGGTGCCGCTCTGCTCAACGAGCTGGAACTTCTGGAGCTTTCCGAGGCGCCTGCCCTTCGCCAGCACTGTCCCATTCCGGTGCGCCGTGAGGAAGCGGCCACTGCGCACTACAGAGAACGAGACCGTCCCGTCGCTGTTCTGATGGCGCTTGAACTTTTGCTCCCTGCCTACCGTCAAGCTTCCGGCAACTACGGACGCAGAGTCCTCTACGCTTAAGTATGAGCCGTGGAGGCACTTCAACGATACTGTGCCATCCGAATTCATCTCAATTTGAAACTTCTCTGTGTCGTCTACCCTGGTGGCCTCCCGAGTGAGTATGGCGAATCGCCCTGGTTCGTCGGAGATTGCCTCGTTGCTGACGTACCTGCCGTCGGAGGTCTCGAGCATGATTGCACCATCCTCTTTCCTTACCATCATAAACCTTTCTGCGCTGCCGATCTTGCTGCTGACACCCACCCAATCACCCTCCGCCCCTATGTACCGTCCAGTCCATGCCTTCAAGGAGATCGCACCGTCACCGTGCTCGATGAGCTCGAAGGACTCCCACTCGCCGATGGCGGCCTCGTTGCCGAGCTGGCCCTGCCTGGTCACGCTGAGGTACCCGCCGTTGCTGACGCGCACGGACACCGTCCCGTCCGGGTTGCGGAGGAGCCAGAGCCTGCGCTGGGCAGCCCCAGGCTCCTCGTAGAGGAACAGAACACAGCATAAACATAAACTGTTGATGGTCCACGCGGATTTCTTGGATCCGTGCTGATCCCCCCCTCCCCGGCGCGCGGAGCGCGCCAGGGGCAGCGCCGGAGGCGCCGCCAGGGGGCCCCAGCGCCGATCCAAGAAACCCGCGCGGACCGTCAACATATCATGCTTTGTGCAGCGCTTTTCCTTCTTCGACCTCGGCCGCGGTTGCTGCAATGGTCGTGGTACTGCTGGTGGTGTCGGTCGCGGCCGCCGCTGTCGTGCTCGACGCCGGTGCCGCCCGGGTTGCCGGCGGCGGCGGCGGAGACACGAGGCCTCGGGCCTGTCGGGTCGGGCGAAAGGGGGGATAGCAAAGGGGGGGTTTGAGAACCAGCTCACGTGGCTGATTTTCCCGGCGCCTCCAGGCGCCGGGAGGCGCCCCTGTGTCGAGGAATGGGCCCCTCGGTGAGGCCGAAACCAGCTGCATGCAGCAAATTTCGTAACCCCCCCTTTCCTAATCCCCCCCTTTCGTCCGGCCCGAGCCTCCCTCCTCCCTCCTCAGGGAGGGGGAGGGGGAGGAGGAAGAGGAGGAGGAGGAGGAGGAGGAGGAGGAGGAGGAGGAGGAGGAGGAGGAGGAGGAGGAAGAGGAGGGCCTGGGCCAGGAAGCCCCGCACGCGGAACTGCCGCGCAGGGGCGCCGGGGCCCGCGCCGGCGGCCGACAGGAGCGCGAGGGGCAGGGCGGTGCACCCGAAGATCGGGGGTTGCTAGACGTGCCCCGGGGTGCCCCCAGGGTTCCCTGGGAGGCCCCCGCGGCCTCCAGACGGCAGAGGGAAACAATTGGTGAACACCCCCCCTGCCCCCCAAACTCAAGGTTGGCACGCGCGGGGGAGACTGCGGTCGAGGTGCAACTCATCAGACCCACCGCCAACTTTGAGCATTGGGGGGAGGGGGAGGCGTTCACAGATGAATGTGGCATGAGTGTTCGCTACTTTTTCCCGAGGCCTGGAGCACTCCTCACGAGGCCCAGAGGGCCCCCGGGGCCTCCACAAAAGTCGGCGGAGAGCTGGGGGCACCTCTTGGGCCGGGGGCACCTGTGGCAACCCCCGAGACGACGGCGGCGGCGGCGCCGGCCCAGAGGAGGAGCTGGCTCACGGGCTGCCTGGCTTGCGGGGGGGCGCCGCCCGTGCAACCTGCACCGCTGAAGGCCAGGCCGCGTCTTCCCCCCCGAGGTCTGGGGCGCTGTTGCGCAGTTTTTGACGGCGGGCGTTCTGGCTGGCTTCGGGCCAGGGGGGCCATCGCAGATCGAGCCCGCTCGAGCAGCCTGTGCGACGTCGCATGTCGCTGTCGCAGCGTCGGGGCGAGCCATGCCGAGGGTCCGATCGGTGGGGGCGGGCAGATTCGCGGCGGCCCGCTGCCCTTCGAGGAGCGGGGCGGCGAATGGGGGACCAGTCAGGACCCTCAGGAGGCACCAAGAGCAGGCCAGACTGCCGCCAAAAAGACACGGCCTTGCACTGCGCTCTTGCCTCCTGGATTGCCCGACCGGCTGCTTGTGGCCCCCTGCCCCCCTAGGAGGCGCGACGCCACCACGGGGGAGACCGGTGTGGGAGTTCCCTGGGGCCCTGCCCGGAAAACCTCCGAGAAACAGATGAACAAACAAACCTAATGGTTTTTCTTAGGGTATTACTCCAAGAGCCCAGGGGAGTGGAGCCTGTTTTTTTTTTGGGGGGGGGGAGGGGGGCACACGTAAAAGCAATATTCTTTCTTGAGCAGCAATCACAACCAGGCAAGACATAACACGCAGAAAGCACAAGACATAAAAACATCATACCCAATAGCAGAAGACGGTTGTTTTTTCTGTGGGCTTCCGGGGGGATCACACAAACCAATCAACATCACAATTCGGGAGCCCCCCGCGGGACCCCCCCAGAAGGGTCTTCGTTTTCAATCGTTCGTTTGGTGTTCGGCTTCTCACATGTCGTTTCGGAGGCTCATCTGACCTGTCTCCTCCCGGGCTCTGGGGGGGGAGAACCAAAAAACAAAAAAAAACGGAGGCGTTTTCCGATGGCTTCGAAGATCTTGTCCGGGGGTTCTCTCGCCACCCCAGGCTCCGGGGTGGAAACCCAACAAAAACAACAACTCTTTTGCTTTCATGTTTTTTCCTGGCTTTCCGGCCCAGGCACCCGAAAAACCACCCTCAAGGAGGCTTTGAAGGTTCAGGGTGGTTTCCCCACCCAGACCTCCCCCAAGCCCCCTCTGAAATGGGCTTCCCCCCGCCGAGCCTCTCCAACAACAACATGATCAAGGAATTTTTTGAGGGGTTTGGGTTTAGAAAAGGTCCTCCCCCAGACCGCAATGTTTTCCCTATCGGACCCCTCACAAACCCCGACGCCTCTGGGAGCCTCCGAACGCCTCGCGGACGCCTGGGCAGGGGCCTCGTCTAGCAGCGGGTGGCGCACTGCAGAGGGGAACGTCGAGTACCACGGACGCTTCGTGAAACCGGCTTGGGACGGGGCCTCGAGCTTGGAGAGCGGCCTCGTCTGGCAGCGGGTGGCGCGCCGAAGAGGGGCACAACTAGCACCAAGGGTGCTATTCTAATAAGCTTGAGGAAGGGCCTCGTCTAGCAGATGATGGCACACGGCAGAGGGGGCGCGTCTAGTACCAAGGATGCTTTCTGAAGCAGGGCCGCGCCTAGCAGAGGGTAGCGCACGGCAGCGGGGCACGTCTAGTACCAAGCGATGCACAGCAGAGGGGCACGTCTAGCACCGAGTTTTTTTTTTTGTGTGTGTGTGTGTGAGAGTGTGTGTGTGTTTTGAAAGCTCAGCTTGGGGAGGGGCCTCGTCTCGCAGCGGACACGGCAGAGGGGCGCGTCTAGTACCAAGGACTATTTTTTTACCTTGGGGAGGGGCCTCGTCGAGCAGCGGTTGGCGCACGGCACAGGGGCACGTTGAGTGCCAAGGATGCTGTTCTAATCAGCTTGGGCAGGGGCCTCGTCGAGGGGCGCGTTTAGTACCAAGGATGCTTCCTTACTAAACTTGGGGAGGGGCCTTGTCTAGGCACGGATGTCTTTCGCCGGGGTTGGCTTTCGCCGGGCTTCGTTTCGCCCGGCTTCGTTTCGCCGGGCTTCGTTTCGCTGGGGTTGGCTTTCGCCGGGGTTGGCTTTCGCCGGGGTTGGCTTTCGCCGGGGTTGGCTTTCGCCGGGGTTGGCTTTCGCCGGGTTGGCTTTCGCCAAGTTGGCTTTCGCCGGGGTTGGCTTTCGCCGGGTTGGCTTTCGCTGGGGTTGGCTTCTGCCGGGGTTGGCTTTCGCCGGGGTTGGCTTTCGCCGGGGTTGGCTTTCGCCGGGGCCGGGCGGGGAGCAGGCGGGGCAGACTGAGGGGCAAGCGATGAATGGTAATGGGGTGTCGATGTCTCCTGTCCCCTCTTAGCAATTTCTTGTGTCGGGCCGCTTCCAGAAGCGGCTGGCGGTCGTGGTGGCGGTCGCAGCTGGTGGGGGCGTTGGCCCGAGACTTCCGACGCCCCGGAAAAACAAAACGGTTAGTTTTTTTTGGCCGGGGTCGGCCGCAGGGAGGCCATGACGTCCTTACCTAGGACGCGCCAGGAACGACTGCGGACCCCAGGGAACCGACGGCGTAAACAAATCTGGGGGTCGGAGCTCAGGGCCCGAAGTCGCCGTGCAGGAGTAAGGGGCGGGGGCGCGGCGAGGAAGGAAGAGGCTCGAGACCCTTGTTGCAGGGCGGGCAGCGAGCAGCGCACGGACGGGCAGCGGGCAGCGCCGAGCCGAGAAACCCGCCAGGCGGACCCTAAAGGGATGGTCGGGTCGGGCGGGCGGACCCTAATAACCGGCGGGAAGGGTCGGGTCGGGCCGGGCGGATCCTAACACGCGGGCCTGGTCGGGCGAGCGGACCCTGACGGGCGGAGAGGGTCGGGTCGGGACGGGCGGACCCTAACGGGCGGGTCGGGTCGGGCGGGCGGGACACTAAAGTGTGGGGCGCTCGAGTGAGCACGCGTGAACCCTAACGGGCGGGTCAGGTCGGGTCGGGCGGATCCTAACGGGCGGGGCGGATCGGGTCAGGTCGAGCAAACCCTAGCGGGTCGGGTCGGGCTGCAGGCGGGACACTAAAGTATGGAGGCTCGCTCGAGTGAGCACGCGTGAACCCTCAGGGGCGGGTCGCTGCGGGCGGGCGGACCCTGACGGGCGGGGCGGGTCGGGTCGGGTCGGGCGGACCCTAACGGGCGGGTCGGGTCGGGTCGGGCGGACCCTGACGGGCGGGGCGGATCGGGTCGGGTCGAGCAAACCCTAACGGGCGGTTCCGGTCTCGCAGGCGGGCCACTAAAGTGTGGAGGTACGCTCGAGTGAGCACGCGTGAACCCTAACAGGCGGGTCGGGTCGGGGCGGGCGGACCCTGACGGGCGGGGCGGGTCGGGTCGGGTCGGGCGGACCCTAACGGGCGGGTCGGGTCGAGTCGGGCCGGGCGGACCCTAACGGGCGGGTCGGATCGGGTCGGGCGGACCCTAACGGGCGGGTCGACGGGCAGGCGGGACACTAAAGTGTGGAGGCGCGCTCGAGTGAGCACGTGTGAACCCTAACGGGCGAGTCGGGTGGGGCAGGCGGACCCTGACGGGCGGGACGGGTCGGGTCGGGTCTGGGCGGACCTTAACGGGCGGGTCGGGTCGGGCGGGCGGGACAGTAAAATGTGGGGCGCGCTCGAATGAGCACGCGTGAACCCAAACGGGCGGGTCGGGTCGGGTCGGGCGGACCCTAACGGGCGGGTCGGATCGGGTCGGGTCGAGCAAACCCGAACGGGCGGGTCGACTCGGGCAGGCGGGACACTAAAGTGTGGAGGCTCGCTGGAGTGAGCACGTGTGAACCCTAACGTGCGGGTCGGGCTGGGCGGGCGGACCCTGACGGGCGGGTCGGGTCGGGTCGGGCGGACCCTAACGGGCGGGTCGGGTCGGGTCGGGCCGGGCGGACCCTAGCGGGCGGGTCGGGTCGGGCGGGCGGACACTAACGAGCGGGTCGGGTCGGGCCGGGCCGGGTGGACCCTGACGGGCGCGTCGGGTCGGGCGGGCGGGACACTAAAGTGTTGGGCGCGCCGGAACGAGCTCGCGCGAACTTCAACGGGCGGGTCGGGTCGGGTCGGGTCGGGCGGACCCTAACGGGCAGGTCGGGTCAGGTGGGCGGGACATGAAAGTGTGGGGGCGCGCTCGAGTGCGCACGTGCGAACCCTAGCGTGCGGGTCCGATCGGGCGGGCGGAGCCTAACGGGCGGGCGGGTCGGGCGGACCCTAACGGGCGGGTTTGGTCGGGCTTCAGCCAACCGGCTGCGGGCAAGAGAAGCCAGAGGAAGAGGGAAGGGAGGGGAGCAGCAGCAGCAGCAGCAGCAGCAGCAGCAGCAGCAGCAGCAGCAGCAGCAGCATGAAAGAACAGGAGCGGGAAGAGGAGAAGAGGAAGAGGAGGGCGAAAACGAACCCAGGCGAAAACGAGCCCAGGCGACAGCCAACCCGGGCGAAAGCCAACCGGGCGAAAGCCAACCCTGGCGAAAGCCAACCGGGCGAAAGCTAACTGGGCGAAAGCCAACCCAGGCGAAAGCCAACCCGGGCGAAAGCCAACTGGGCGAAAGCCAACCCGGGCGAAAGCCAACCCGGGCGAAAACCAACCCGGGCGAAAACCAACCTGGGCGAAAGCCAACCGGGCGAAAGCAAACCCAGGCGAAACGAACTGAGCGAAACGCACCGGGTGAAACCAACCCGGGCGAAAAACATCTACGCCCTTGTCTAGCAGTGGGTGATGCACGGCGCTGGGCCACGTCTTGCACAAGGCGATGCACGGCAGAGGGGCACGTCTAGCACCAAGGATGCTTCCTTAATCAACTTGGGGAGGGGCCTTGTCTAGCAGCGGGCCGGGCACAGCAAGGGAGCACGTCTAGTACCAAACATATTTGTTCAAAACAATTTAGGGACGGGCCTCGTCTAGCAGCGGCTGGCGCACGGCATAAGGGGCACGTTCAGTACTAAGGATGATTTCGTCACCAGCTTAGAAAGGGGCCTCGTCTGGCAGCGGCTGGCGCACGGCACAGGGGCACGTCTAGTACCACGGATGCGTCTTCAATCAGCTTGGGCAGGGGCCTCGTCGAGCAGCGGGTGATGCACAGCAGAAGGGCAC